GTGTGTGTGTGTGTGTCAGTGAGTGTGTGAGTGTGTGTGTGTCAGGGAGTGAGTGAGTAAGTATGTGTGTGTGTCAGGGAGTGAGTGAGTAAGTGTGTGTGTGTGTCTGTGTGTCAGTGTGTGTGTGTGTGTTGTCATTTGCATGAGTGTGAGATGAGTGTTCTCAGTTTCTCAATTAACCCATTTCACTAGGTTAGTAATAAGGAGTGGTCATAAAAATGTTTGTTTAATGTTTTGAAATTGAAGAAACTAGGACATAAATATTAGTATTGTGATTTTATAGTTATACTGTAAAATAAAATTATTAATAAACTGATTTTATTAAATATTTTAAAATGGAATAGCATAATTGCAGTTGTAATATATTTCTTCATTTGTTTAATATTTTTCAAATAATAAGAACTTTTATTTATTTTATATTTTATATATATACATATATATGTGTGTGTGTGTGTGTGTGTGTGTGTGTGTATATATATTTCATTATTTTGTAGTCGTGTAGATATATAAACACAATATGAATTTTTGGCCAAATTGTACAGACCTACAAACAAACACGGCAAACCCAGAGCTCTTTAAAAAAAAAAAGTAGCATTTTGATCATAAATACCCATGTTAGAGCATTTGAGGAGCGTTGGAGAGTCGCTCTGCTGCTTCATGAGGTGTTGTGTGGGAGCTTTGGGCTGGTTCGCATGTTTCTTGTCTGCAGGAGCTGCTGGAGATGCTTTGACCTTCACACTGCAGATGTTGATCATTTCCCAGTGTAATCAAAAGCCTCTCGGAGTCGATGCGTTACTGCAGTGTGGTTTTCATTAACAGAAACACAACACCGATCTGCACACACACACTAAAGCTGGTCTTAACTTGACTTCCTTCTCTTTTCTTCCTGTAAATAATTGTTTGATTTGTATGTGCATTATCTGTACACACACACACACACACACACTCACTGACACACTCACTCACACTCACACGCACGTGCACACACACACACACTCTCTCACACACTCACTCACACTCACGCACACACACACACACGCACACACATGATTGCGTGTGTTATGAACAATGAAGAACAATCTGAATCTGTCTGCATTAACACTGTGTGTGTGTGTGTGTGTGTGTGTGTGTGTGTGCACGTGTGCACGTGTGTGTGTGCGTGCGCGCGTGTGTATAGAGTCGAGGCCTCTCTCTGTTCCAGTGAAAGTTTTTCCATCATCTGAAGAATGTCACGTGAGTCCAGAGGAGCACATGAAGAACCTGATAACACACACCTGGAACGCTGTCAAACGCCTCACGCTTCAGGTGTGTGTGTGTCT